GTTTTTCATTTTTTTAAGACATCTCATGGAAAATTATTGTTTTAAAAATTTTCAAAAATTCCCCCCCCCCCCGAAAAAAAAAAACATTTTTTTTTTTTATCAAACCAGTCTTTTCACACTAGTTACCGTTGTCATTATTTAATACAAAAAAATTATAGTTTTCAACAATCGTCATAGATGGCAGGACAAAATACACAAACACACAGTGACACATCGTGAATAGTGTTGTTATCATATCTATCTATAAACTTACAGTTTTGGAAGTGTTGGAAAATATCCCAGATTTCCTGCTGTGAGTCGAGCGACCCCTAGAGGATTTAAAAGAAGACTCTAGAGTTGTTGTTGTAAGGCGAGCTTGACTAGTGTCACTCATGTCATCCATCTTACGTCCTCCGTTTTGAATCTGTAAAACCAAACCAAGCAGGTTTAAATATTCATTTAACTGTCTGTCTACTTATTAAAAAAAAAAGGTTCCCTGTTCATATACCCGACTTTCCTTCCCTCCGTGTTAAACAATAATCTTTTGTATGTAATGACATCAAACAATTTATCAGACAGGCTTAGAATATGTGTTAGAATGGGGCATTCTTCATTTATAATGTGTTAGAATGGGGCATTCTTCATTACCCGGAGAATTTCCTGAATACAGTTTAAAGAAGAAACTCTGACCAATCTTTCATGTTCTTGTAGTTGTATGCAGAATACTTTCTTCCTGTGACCATTGTTTCATTTATTTAGCTTTGTTCGGATTCATCTCTGACGGTTAGAATCACTCTATAGGTTTTGGTTTCATTTCCAACCGTTAAGGGTATGGCATTTACTATCAAACGGATTTCCCTCAGAGTATTCAGTTAGGGCCAACTAGGTTCAGAGAATAATATAGAGTCGAAACACAAATATTTCCAATCACAATCTATATTTAACAAGGTCAGAAACAAACGCGATACGAAATACAAGGGCAAGTATTTATAGTGTGTGTTGAACTGGCAGAAGAAGAGCGAAGAAACCTTTAACAGTTTTTTTTTTACCAGTTCAGTCTGTTCCCACTTGTAAGTTACGTTAGCACCTGCACACGAGCAAGCCCGGTATCTTGATGTGGATCCAAGAAAAAAATGGAAAGGTTTGGGTTGTTTTGATTAGATAAAAGGTAAGACGTTTGGCACTATTATCGAGGTCAAGATCGCTAGACCATGACCCGTGACCATGAGAGCCAACATGGAGAAGTTGTAAATGTAAAGTAACATTCGTCAATTGATGACTCCATTGAGAGCAAACCATAGAAAAATGGGCACAATGTTTTTGAATTTCGCGCAAAGCTACACGAGGGCTATCTGCGCTAGCCGTTCCTAATTTAGCAATGAAAGACTAGAGTGAAGGCAACTAGTCATCACCACCCACCGAAAACTCTTGGGCTACTCTCTTACCAATGAACAGCGGGATTCACCGTAACATTCTAACACCTCCACGTCTGAAAGGGCGAGCGAGTTTGGTGGGACGGGGATTCGAACCCTCGACCCTCAGGTTGCGAGTCGAGATCCCTAACCACCTGGCCATTATCCGATTCGCCGACAGATAAGACAACCGTCTAATTGTAAACACAAGAGCGATAAAGCTCCTGCCCATTATCCGATTCGCCGACAGATAAGACAACCGTCTATCTGTAAACATCAAGAGCGATAAAGCTCCTGGCCATTATCCGATTCGCCGACAGATAAGACAACCGTCTATCTGTAAACATCAAGAGCGATCTTTTTTTTTTTGGTACGCAACTAATTGCAAATATGTTTTCGTTTCGTATTTGACCGTTACGTAGTTGGAATCACTTATTACTGTGAAGTTTGGGAACATTTTACAACAAACCAAATTATAGTGTGATAAACACTGAAAATGTTTCAACGGTATTTTGTCTCTGCTTGCAAGAGGAAAGCGTTTATTCAATTTTCAAAAATAGTCTTGAAGGTTAGATTTTCAATTATTATGCGCAAATGAGAAAATATGCAATAATTTTTTTTTTCAAGAAAACAAAAATCCTCTCAATTACTAAACATATTTTTTTTTACGCGTGTGGGTTGCATTACACAACGTAAATAAGGAAATTAGTCTAGAAATTTCAAAGCAAACGCCGAGGCAGAAGAAATTACACCTCGCGACCCCCCCCCCCCCAGTTAGAATACCTCAGTTAGAATCTTGCAATAATTGCATACGTTTCGGAAGATGAATTTTTTTTCCAATCACTGAAAATGTCAGTACCTTAATATAAACGCTAGAAATGGATTATTATACCAACAACCTAAACGGCAGATAATCTGTGGCCTCAAGAACAAAAGACATATAAACTAAAAAAATATTCGTTTTCTTGTTTATGTATTTTTGAATACTCGTGTAAAGAAGGCTACTCGGGGGCTATCTTCGTTAGCCATCTCTAATTTTAAGTTATTAGACTAGAGAAAGGCAGTTATTCAACAACACCAACTCTTGGACAACTTTTATTTGACTGGCGAAAGAGACTGGTCCAACAAAATTAATCAAATATTCTAATGTACACAAACATTCATTTGACAAAAACATAAAAAAAAAAGACATATTTAC